GCAGGGTCCCTACACCCTTGTTTAAGCTTGCCTAAGCAGGTGCTTTAGACCGCTGAGCTATCTCACTGGCCCCTTCATCTCTTTTCAAAGTGGTATAATGAGGTAATCTCTGTCCTTAGGTCTTTTCTAAAATTATCAGTGAAGGTGGATGTGGTGGCACCTGCCTGTGAGCTGAGCTCTTGGGAGGCTGAGGCAGGAGAATCTCTATGAGTTCCAGGCCAGCCTGGACTACATAGTGAGAACCTGTCTCAATAAATAAATGGATAAATAAATAAATAAATAAATAAATAAATAATCAATGAAGTCATGTCAAAACATTTCTTTGTCAAACTGAACTTAACATTAATTTGATCCTTTTTTTAAAGGTATATAACAGTTATTCTGAACCTCAGGAAATTTGGATGTGGACTAAATACCATATAATATTTTGAAAATAATGTAAATAAACATGTAGGTATGATAAGACCTTGTAAGAGATACCTTAGGAGAGTATACTAGAAATAAAGCAAGTTGGAGGGGGCCTGAGACCAAAAGCAAATGTGGTAAAATGTTTACAACTGGCAAATGTAGGTGATGGGCATATAACATTGTTCATTGTACTGTTGTCTCCTCCCTTCTCTATAAGCTTGAAAATGTTGAAAAATGAATTATATTAAATCTGTTTTGGGGAGTTTTCATTCTATTGTAACCATTGCCTACCCTTTAGATATGAAGTCTTTCTGTGTTGCCCAGGCTGGCCTTGAACCCCTGGGCATTCCTCCTGCCTCAGTCTCCCAAATAACTGAAACTAACCAGCTTATAGCCATATTTTTGTTGTTGTTGTTTTGTTTTTGAACCAGGGTTTCACTATGCAGTTAAGGTTGGTCTCAAACTTGTAGCAATCCTCCTTCCTTAGCCTTCTGAGCTCTAGGATTACAGGCATGCATCACCATGCCAGGCTTGTAGCCACATTTTTAAAATGTAATTTTATGGCATTTAGAAAATTCTCATAAGGAAGCATAGTTAAAATAGTATGGTTATGTGAGGAGATTCAAGCACTTTACAAGATACAGAAGTACTATGAAGGAGAGAGTATTGAATTCTGCCTGAGGTGGGCAAGCTGACTGAAAAGGGTGATGCCTGAAAAAGAATATAAAAAATAATACATTAGTGTCTTGGACAGCCATACCCAAATACTGCATTCTGAGTGGCTTACACAACAGAAATTCATTTCTTAGTCTTTCTTTTTTTCTTTCTTTCCTTTTCCTTTTCCTTCCTTCCTTCTTTTCTTGTCTTTTTGAGACAGTGTCTCATTATGTAGTTCAGGCTAGCTTTATTTATTTATTCACTTACTTATTTATTTATTTTCAGGCTAGCATTGAACTCACTATGTAGCCCAGGCTGGCCTCCAACTTGTGATGATCCTCCTGCCTCAACCTCCTGAATTCTGGGATTACACAAGCCTGGCTCATTCTTCACATTTTTTTGAAAGGAGAGGGTTAACATGATCTCGTACACATTTCTGTTCTAATATTGGCTTATGCAATGTATTATCTTTAGTCTGCTTTGTTCTGTGTACTCAGATATTTGCTAGGCTTGGTAAATTTCAGAAGTAAAACTCTGATGCCTGTCTTAGTAATTTTGTTGGAGAAACCAAAATAGAAGTAATGTATAATTAAGGGCTGATTCATGTATGGGACAACTCATTCATTCAAAGTCCCTGCTCTTATGAAGCTTACACCCTAGTGGATGGAGAGACAGTAACTTCTCTTTATCCACAATTTAATTTTTTGTGGTTTAAGTCAACCACAGTCTAAAAATATCAAGTAGAAAGTTCCACAAAGAAACAATTAATTAATTTTAATTTGTATGGAATTCTGGGTAGCATGATGAAATTTCAAGTCCAGGATGTGAGGTATATCCCTTTGTCCAGCACATGTACACATTGTATATTCAGCCATTAATCACTTGGTAGCCATCTTGGCTATCAGATTGACTGTCACAGTGTAGAAAGGTGTATTTTTTTAAAAAAATATATAGTTTCTTTTTTTTTTTTTTTGCAGAACCAGGGATTGAACTCAGGCCTTTGTGCTTGCCAGGGATGCACTTATTCCACTGAGCCATCTCCCCGGCCCAGAAAGGTGTATTTTGAAGTAGTCCTTATTTTACTTACTAATGGCCCCAAAGCATAAAACTAGTGATGCTGGCAAACAGATATGCCAAAGAGGTATCCACAAGTGTTTTCTTTAAGTAAAAACGTCAAAGTTCTCAACAAGAAAAAAAAAATCATATGCTGATATTAAAACCTACAATAAGTTGTTGTTAATCTCTGTGTATACTTTATAAATTAAATTTTATCATAGGCAATTACAAGAAAAAATAGTATATGTAGGGCTTAGCAGTGTCTGTGGTTCCATGTATCCATTGGGGTCTCAGAGCATATCCCATGTGTTCAAGGGAGACTACTGTACAGTGGGGATGTGTGCTAGAGGTCAGCAAAGCAGGGAAACGTATGTGCTGAGGTTCTGATGTACTATATAATGGGGTGGGAAGAAGCAAGCCCCTCTTAATAGGATGACATTGCAATAGAAAGACCTAGAAAATGACAGCGTGACTTAGGTACCTGGGAGGAATGTTCCAGGGACAGGGAAAAGCAAGGGCAAAGACCCTCAGGTGAATCAGGTGAATCAGGTGAAGTGTTGTTGACCTTTTTTTTTTGAGACTGGGTCTCACTATGCAGTTCAGGCTACCTTAAACTCAAATTATAGCCTAGGCTGATCTGGAACTCACAAGGGTCCTCCTGCCTCACCCTCTGAGTCCTGGGATTACAGGCCTATTGAGGAAAGCAAGGCAGCTGATGTGGAGAGGCCAATGTGAGACAGGGCTAGTGAGTGCAAGTGGGGAGGAGAAGTTACTCAGGGACTTGGAGGCCACTGACTGACTTTTTTCCCCACAAGAAATAGAATTCACCAGAATAGTATAGATAGAAGCATGGCATGATGTAAACTGGAGTTTTAAAAGTATCACTCTTGATATTATATGGAAGATAGACTATTAAGAGACAGAGATAGGAGATGGAGTCTGGGTAGGAAACAGTTATGGTAATCCTGGCAGGAGCGATGACAATGGCTTAGACTGAGATAGCAGCAGACAGGGTGAAAAATATTGAGACCTGGTATTATTTAGGATATACACAGTCTCTGCTGACAGGGTCAGCACTTGAAATAGGAACGGTATGTGAAAGGGATCAAGGTCTTTGGCCTGAGTCATGGGAGAAGGGAGTTTTCCATTTATGGAAATGGAGAAGATATAGGAGACAGAGGTGTATGGACGGACACCCAAAGTTCACTTTTGCCCTGGTTAAATTGGTTGTCTGAGAGGGGCCGTGAAGAGGACCTATCAAGAAAGCTCCCAATAAGGCTGGTTCTAGGAAGAGAGGAGACACACAGTTGGTATTCAAAAGCCATAAGTTGGGAAATAAAAGCTCAAGAGAATAAACAAGGTAAATGGTTAAGCTTTAGGCACTCTAGGGTCTAGAGGTCACAGAGCTGAGGACTCCACAAAGGAAATTGAGAAGAGGCAGTCAAGGGACTGAACCGTGCTTTCACACTGAACTTCTGTGTATCACTAGCCCTTTTTATTATTTATTTTGTTTTGAGAGAAAGTTTTGCCAAGTTGCCCAGATAGGACTCCAACTTTCCATCCGCTTGCCTCAGACTCCCAGAGAGCTAGGATTCCAAGCATACAGACCAGGTTGGCTGCGCATACATACGAAATTCTGAGAGTAATCAATGGTGTTAAAAAATACTGATGGTCAGGCTGGGCTTGGTGGCACACGCCTGCAATCGCAGCATTTAGGAGGCTAAGGCAAAAAGCTTATTGTGAGGTCGAGATCAGCTGGGGCTACAAAGTGAGCTCAAGGTCAGCCTGAACTGCATAGGGAGACCCTGTCTTTAAATGAAAAATGCTAATGATCAGAAAAGATGAGACTGAAATGGACTATAGTGTTCAATGATGCAACGGATAGAACTAGTCATCCTACTAATGCTTTTCCTTCTAAATATTGTCACTAGACGATTTAGTTCGAAATGCTTTCACTGTAAGAGGAAAATCATTCAGGGCAATTCCATAAATCAGTCATTTATGACAGCAGCAAAACTGTTTTTACTTAAGATTAGCATGCATTTTTATTATTGGCCACAGTCTTCATTTTGGCAAGTTTTGGCCAGTGTTTTTTTTACTTTATCCTCTAGAGTTGTTAGTTCATTCACCCATCTAAAATATATTAAGCAGTTATCCTGTGCCAACCCTAGGTTTTTCTTGTCCTAATATATCTAATTTCACAGACACAAAACTGCCTTTCCAGTGGCATTTGGCTTCATCGTCCCTGCAGTGGGTTTTTTCCAGCCTTCCTTGTCCAGCTGCAGAGCTCAGCGTGGGCGGTCGGAGATGCCTGAAGTCGGTCAACCAATGGCGGGCATTGCTATCGAGTCCGGGAGGGGCTCTTTGAACACGCAGGAACTCTCAGCCATGTCAGGTGGGCGAGTGTATGCAGATGAGGTGGGCGGGCCTTGTCAGATGAGGGGGCGGACCGTGCCTGGAGGGCAGCGCGGAGGCGAAGGGGCGAGTCTTATGCAGACGAGGGGGCGTGTTTATGCAGACGAGGGGGCGTGGTCCGCCCGCAGGCGCGAGGAGCGCTCCGCCGGCCACCGCCGGGAACTGGAAGGCGCCCGGCCCTTTCTTTGACTGGAGCGGACCCGCGGACGCAGCTGCCTCGCCCGCTGGGGCCGGTGCGAGCTGCGGCACTGTGGACGCCTTGTCGGAGGCCAGTCAGCTGGCTGCTACCCGAGTCGGCCGAGCATGGGCAACCACTCGGGACGGCAGGAGGATCCCGAGCCAGGTCTGTGCGGTTGGCGGGGTCGCGCTGCGCCCCCTCCCTGGCCGCGCGCCCCTCCCCCACCCTCCTGGGGCGGGCGGCCCGAGGCGCAGAGTGGGGCTAGTGGAAAGGTGAAGTTCCCGGCGAGTGATTCTTGCCTTTGGAATGTGTTAATAGGGTTGTGAAATTACCTGTGCTCGTTCCGCGACCAGGAAATGCCACTCTCTAGAAACGCATACCTGGGCGCCTCGTCTGCCGGGACGCAGCGAGGGCGGCGGGAAGGAGCTCGCCAGCCTGGCCCGCGAAGGGGGTCGGGAGGCTCTGTCCTGGCGTCCATCGCCGTGAAACCCCACCGGCCCCTCCTTTACGCCCGGGACAGGGTCTCCCGGGCAGACTAGGCAGTTCTCACAGACTTTCTGGGCATTTGCGACGGAAAGTGACTTGGTAGTGATTTTCTGGCTCATTGTCTGTTTTGCAGTGCATCATTAGCATATCACATTTTCTGGAGTCGTTCGGAAGGTGATGATGACCCGTCAGCTGATTTGTTACACTCAGACCAAGGACTTGCTTGTGACTGTTTCTTACCCAAAATAATCAGTGCCTATTTTCATAGGCCAAAAATTTCTCCAGTTTATCAAATTTTTATTTCTTCAAGAATGAAGTGAGCTTGGTGAAGAGGCAGCTGGGCTCTTAGTTTTCATCTTTAGGGCCATCATCCAGTACTCCGGCACAGATTTAGATGCTGATAAACCACGGGTTGTGTTTAAAAACAAAAGAGAACATTTCTGTACTGTCATGTGAAGTACATGAGATCTAATTAAGTCGCTAAAATGGCATGTTGGCTGATTCGAAAGATAGGATTGACTCAGTTGGCGTTCTTTGGTGACAGGTGACCCACCAAGAACTCTTAAATCTTTTTCAAGGAAGTAGTTTCTAAGTTGAGTGAGGAAATTAACCTAGCAACTGTCCGAATGACTTATCCTTTGAATTAGGAACAGGGATATAATTAAATCTGTGGTTGCTTTAGTCACATTCAATGGTTCTTCATATTTTCAGGTCTTTGAGATACTCTTGATATCCTCGGGGCTGGCAGAGATGGGTGCCTCTCTTGTATTGTGGCATATTGGACTTGTACATTAGCTGAGATTAAAAACTTTGACAGCTGCCCCAGAGTGCTGTGCTGAGCAGTGTTAGGGGTGGGGTTAATGCATGGATTATGGGATAAATCTTTAATTCAAACTCCTTTGTGCAGAATAAATTAATCTGATTCATTGCAAGTAAAGATACTTGATTAGGAAATCTTGATGAAGAGACCTTATGTTCTCCCGAGCTTTTTTGTGAGCAGAAGCTCAGAATTAAGATTCTATGAGATTTATAAGGGATTAATACCTAAGAAAGACAAAAGTAAGATAAAGTAGTTTTTTTTTTTTTTTTTTTGCGGAACCAGGGATTAGAACTAGGGCCCTTGCATTTGCCAGGGAAGCACTTATTCCACTGAGCCATCTCCCCAGCTAGAATTGGTTATTGAAAGTCTACAAACTGTGATGCAAATGCAACATCTACAGAAGGGAAGGGGGAGGCAACAGGTTCAGCAAGGAGAGACTCAGCTAATGATGCAGACCTCTTGAAGTCTTGGTCAGTTGATAAGAGAATGTCAAAGCAAAGACTGTCCATTTTGAAGACCTGGTTGGGCAGAAATACCCATACTTAAGTCCCCCTGCTGTGGGCAGTCAGTGGCTATGGGCTTCCTGGGGAAAATTTGCCTTCAAGTTCAAACGTCCAGTTCAGTGGGTTCTTGGTGGTGCTTATAGCTAAGGACTCTCAGCTAACTGCATTCCTTGTAGCCCAATGGCAGATTCTTTCTGCATTACAGACCCTAGGGGCACACCTCCATGGCTTGGACAGGGAGGGTCTATTTAAAGGGTAAGTGACCCTAGGAGGTGTTAGCACAGGCTATAGTCGCAACTACTTGAAAGGCTACGGCAAGGATCCTTGAGTTGAGTTAAAGACCAGCCTGGGCAACATAGTGAGATTCCATCTCAGAGAAACAGAGAGAGAGAGAGAGAGAGAGAGAGAGAGAGAGAGAGAGAGAGAGAGAGACTCCCTCTTTTGTGTCATCTATTCTAGATGGAAATTCCTTGTTGTTAGGTTAGAGGGAGGTTTTTAGCTGTTACATCTATTCCAGTTCTGGAATTTGCTGTGATAGCAACAAAGTTCCTGTTTGGTGGTGTTCTTTTGGTAACTGTGATCTTCTCTGTTAGGTCATTGTGAGTTATAGTGGTATTGAAAGATGGGTAAGAGAAATGAATCCAGCAAAAGACATGAAAAAGCACACATGTAAGGGAAGCTAGAATCATAAGAGCATATTAATGTTATTTATTTCCTGGAAGGTCTGGGTTAATAGTCCCTCAGTTTCCAGCAGGTTGTCAGTACCTGCATTGTCCAGGAAGGCTGCTGGGCATGATTGTGTAGTCATATATTGTTCAAAGGCATCTGTTAAGGGGTTGAGTGGGACCAGCTGGCCTGTATTGCCCCAGAGGAAGGGGTGGGATTTTGCAGTTTTGCCTCATAGTCATGCAAGGGTACCAGCATGCTAAAAGAGGCCCCAAAACCTGAGCTTAGAAGACTTTCCCGAGTCCCACTACTAGCTAATGTCTGCTTATTGCTTATCTTAAATTTGTATATATGTATTTTAAAAATGAATACAAGTGGCTCCTTGGTTTTCACTCCTGTGTTAATTGTAGATGTATGAGTTCAGATGAATCTACACAAGAGTGTTTAAGATTGTTAAAGTTTACTTCTCCCTTATGTCACAGTCTTCTGTGAGTTGGGGGGCATGAGGAGAGTTACAGTGGTTGTAAAGACTCAGGCTAGGGAATGCTCACCTGCACCATAAGGCTGTCTGGTTGCCGTGGATCTGCCTGCAGTCAGGACCAGAGGGTATGTGGTTTTGGGGGTTGGACCTGGAAGAGGTACACATCATTTTCACCACATTCCACACACAGGTCAGACCTATATATGCAGGATACCCAAGTACTAGAAAGTGTCTCCATGTTGTGTCAAGCAGGGGACAGATAATGGTAAACACTAGCATTCTCTTTCTAGATAAGGGGACCATTCTTATCCACATTTCTGTTACTATTTTGTCACAAAAATTTTAATTTGGGCTGGACTTGGTGGCACATACCTGTAATCCCAAGTACCCTGGAGGTTGAGGCAGGAGAACGGCCATGAGTTCAAGACCAACTTGGGCTACAAAGTGAGTTCAAGGCCAGCCTTAACTGCATAATGAGACCTTGACTCAAAAAAAAAAAAAAAGTAAGGAAGAAAAAAATTTTCATTTGAAAAGTCAGAAGACATGTAGATGAGCACACATATCCTCCCATCTGGATTCTACAAATAACATTTTCTATATTTGCATTAGTCCATCTTATTTTTGATACATTTCAAAGTCATGGTGGTTATCTATAATTCTTCATATGCTTTATTGTTTCTTGTTGTATAAATTTTCAGAGCTCTTGAATAACTCTGAAAGTCAAGAAATTAATGCTTCCCATATTCCTGTATTCCTTCCATGCCCAATTTCTGTTAAGTCGTAGATAAATTTGCTAAACCCATTATTAACAAAATAGTGCTGTTGGTATATACAGGACATGGTATGCAGAGCATATACAGTACAATTCTTTCAACTTTGCTATATGAAATTTTCAGTAGCTTAGTGATAAAGCAGGGGCTGGGCATGTGCTGAATTCAAACTCAGCATCCCTCACCAAATCCTAAAATTCTAAGAAAATCATATATTTTGTACCATCTGTATTTCTTGACTAACTTTAGACAGTTCCTAGGCTTTGCACTAGGTGTTTAGGATCTAATATCCCTGTATTTCTAATGCCTTTTGCTCAGTGTATTCCTCTCCTCTCCACATTCTTAGTCTACTTTTCAGTCTTATATATGGCCAGAACATTTATATTCTATTTCATAGTGAGCATTATTAAATCTGTGCATTGTTTATAGGTTGAGTCTAAAAATATTAAAGAACATATTATTTAAAATATTAGGATCCTGGTGTGTCATTTACTGGAGAATTGAGTAGTGTGTTTAGGTTTATAGAGAAGGTATTACAGTCTTGAGGTTGCTTAACTTAGATGTCCTATAAGTTACTTAAAAGATTGAAGAAGGAGTAAGGACCATAGAAAGGCATTGGTGCAAGTAGTTTGATTGTTTACTTTTAAAATGAATTTGAGCCAGATGTAGTGGTGTTAGCCTGTGATCCCAGCACTTTGGGAGGCTAAGGCAAGAGGATTATCTCAATTGGGCTATTACATAGTGAATTTAAGTCCAGCCTAAACTAGATAGAGGGACCCTGTTTCAAAAAACAAAAACAAAAGCTTGACATGGTGGCTCATGCCTATAATGCCAGCACTTTGGGAGACTGAGGCAGGAAGGTTGTGTACTTGAAACCAGCCTTGTCTAGAAAGTGAGTTTAAGGCCAGTTTAAATTACATAGTGAAGGGCTAGCAAGATAGCTCATTGGACTGAGTGCCTGCTTAGGTAAGCACAGGGGCCAGGGTTCTATCCTTGGCACTGCATGCTGCACCAGCCCAGCCCCCAGGCGTGCTGAGCTGGCAATGGAGTCTGGGTGTGGTGGCACATGCCTGTAATCTCAGTACTAAGGAGGCTAAAAACAAGAGGATCACTATGAGTCTGAGCTGTGTAGTGAGACCCTGTACACACATACACAAAAAGATTACAGAGTGAATCCCTCTGCCTTATAAAACAAAACAAAATGACTGATATATTTGCATGTTTTTATTGTGTTATTTAGCTTTTTTATTTTACATATTGTTATAAAGAGTTCCTTCTTCTTGGAATGGGCAGTGGGGCATATTGGTACTTGAATCCAGGGCTGTTTGCATGCTTACATGCTAAGCACACACATTACCACTGAACTGGAATTTATTAAAAAAATTAATTTCTTACAAACAAAAGTTTGGGGAGGTTGAGTCTATGCTGTGGAGTTAGGC